CTTCTTCTCCGTTGCAGGTCGTGACACGCTGACCTATTTCTACACTGGGGTGTCCGAGCCCAGGAAAGGCCTCCCCGCGTTTCAGGCCAACGGCTTCCTCAACGAGCAGACCTTCCTCCAGTATGACAGCACCTATGGGAAGGCTGAGCCCGTGGGACCATGGAGACACGTGGAAGGGATGGAGGACTGGGAGAAGGAAAGCCAGCTTCAGAAGGCCAGGCAGGACATCTTCCTGGAGACCCTGCAGGACGCCATGAACTATTACAACAGCGACGGTCAGTGAACAACAGGCTGCGGGGCTGGAGGGTCTCGCGCGAGAGGCAGCCCGCGGGCGTGAGTGGAAAGGGGTCAGCGGGATGGAGACAGTCCTCGTCCCGAAGGGGGAACAGGGGCACGAGGGGCACCCCAGAGACGTCTCCGCCTCCCCCAGGCCGTGGCACAGCTGCTTCCTCCTGCGTCCTTCTCCCCCGCGCTCACTTCTCGGCCTCAGCTCACAAGGAAGTGAAGTCAGAGTCGCTCCTTAGCCAGGCACCTCTGACCCTCTGCTCCCCTCCTCCACCTGCCTCAGGTTGATCCCTTCGAGAAGGTGTCAGACTCCCTCCTGTCCTGGGAGGCTAGTAGAGACAGAGCTCTGCCAGTCACTAGCTGTTGACGGTGCGCACGTGCCTAAGTTACCTGGGCTGAATCTGCGAGTTGCAGCGCGACCTCACTCTGAGAGGCAAAACATGTGTATGTCTGTTCCATGAAGGATATTGCAGTCTGCCTTGGTCTCCTCGTGGCCCCATCTCCTAGAATAGGGTTCAGTCGATTTCTGCTCCATCGTAATGTGTTGAGTGAATGGAGAGAAAGCACCCAGTGCAAATCACGCCCACGCTGGGAGGTCCCTAGATGCAGGATTGAAAGAAACCCCCACAGGTGAGAGAGTTCACGGAGCCCTAAAGATCCTCCAGTCCACGGGAGCGGCTACCGGCAGGGACCTCGGCTCTGTGGCATGAAAAGCTGGAGTCCGAGCTCACACCGATACGGGCTCCTGTGTCCCAGCTCAGCTCTTTCTCCAAAACCACACGGGCTGCTTCCAAGGCAACCAGTCTCAGGCCTGGTGAACTGCTCGTGCTAAATGATGACAGAGTAGTGTTAGCAGGTGAGCTTCTGAGTACAGAAATGCCCAAGGGGCTGCATGGATTCTGAGGTTTCTAATAGGAGGCAAGAGATGTGGAGACATCTGCCAGATGGGAATGGGGAGTCTTGGGAAGGAAAATGGCCTGGGCTGTCTGTCAGCAATAGGAATGGTGTCCAGGAAGGACTCTGGGAAAATCTTTCACTGGCTGGAAGATAAATGGCAAAGTGAATAGTTATGAGTAAAGATGAAGGCGAGATGAACGCAGGGTATTAGAAAATGATGGTGGTCGCCATTTATTAAGCTCTTACTTTGTGCCAGGCCTAGCACTTAGCACATCCAATGCTCATGAGAACCCTGTAGTAGAGTGCCGATTTCCACGGCCATTTCAGAGATGAGAAAAGAGAAGCACAGGAGGTTATTGGCTCAAGTCCATGGAAGAAGCCAGGTGTGGGGTGGAGATCATCTTGGATTGGAGCCCAGACAGTTTGAGGTCTATCAGAGCCTGTGCCAACAGCACAAGTGTTGCATCAACGTAAACACTCACAATCACAAGGAATATGTCATGTCCCTTTGGCTTGAGGAGGCCAATTTCGGAGAGTCATTGGTAAGGGGCAAGGGGCTTCGGCTTTGGAGATTTGGAAAATGACTATCAGTCACAAGAACAGAATGCAGAAGTGACCCAACTACATTCACTCAGGTGAGGCTCTAAACTCCACTAGAACTGAGAGAAAAGGGTATGGTCCCATGTTACATAAGGTGTCACATAAGTGTGGGAAAAGGAAAAATGTGCTCTTTTAAAATGAAGCAGCTTCTAAGCTGGGCTCAGTGGCTCAGCCTGTAATCCCGGGCTTTGGGAGGCTGGGGTGAGTGGATTGCCTGAGCCCACGGGTTCGAGACCCGCCTGGGCAACTTGGCAAGACCTCATCTCTACAATAAACCAAAAACTAGCCGGGTGTGGTAGTGCGCGCCTGTAGCTCCAGCTACTCAGAAGGCTGAGACGGAAGGATCGCTGGAGCCCAGCAGGTCGAGGCTGCAGTGGCTGGGAGTGGCCACTGCACTCCAGTCTGGGCGACAGAGTGAGACTCCAACTCAAAAATAAATAAATAAATTAATTAATTAATTAATTTAATCAAGCAGCTTCTACATGTAGCCCAACTCAGCTACCAAGGACAGTTTTAAATACAAGTTTCTGAGTCCAAAACCCTGTTGTGGGATGTTCAGAAAGGAGGTCTCTGGAGGGGCAAAAAGAGACTCAGCTCTCCCCTAAAGTCTTCTACTCCCTCTTTATCTTCATTGCAAGAATCCGTGTTTTCCAAGCATATGGGAAATGCCTATGCTTAAGCAAAGCAAGGCCACTACAGGTGGGAAGATGTCACCTCCTACTGGGATTTAATTATATCTCCAGAAAGTAAACAGACCCAATAGTTTATTGACATTTAGGAGACCATTGTCTTCAATCTCATGGGCACAATCCCAGGAGGTGGACCTCTTCTAGTAGCTGACGCGTGCAAATTCTCACGGTTCGCTACAAGTCTGGATGCCACAGCTAGTTCTACATGTTTTTATTTCCTGCAGGCCCACCTCTTAATACTAGTGCTGTTCATAGTCAGGGATAAATTGAGATCAAGAAAATGAAGCCTGTCGCGATGACAAAAGCACACAGGGAAGTTTATTTAATGGATTTGGGGATCTTGCATCACCCAAGAAACAAAGGACACCATTAGGGGCAGTGGAACTGAAAATTGGAGAACCATCAACACCCAAGTCAGATACTCTAACCACCATCCCCACCTCTGTGTGTGTATCTCTCTCTCAGAGCCTGTCTCATCTCTTGTCTCTAATTGCTTATTCTGTGATTTTTTTTTTTTTTGAGTTGGAGTATCACTCTGTGGCCCAGACTGGAGTGTAGTGGCACACTCCCGGCCACCGCAGCCTCACCCCGCTGGGCTCAAGCGATCCTCCTGCCTCAGCCCTCCAAGTAGCTGGAACTAGCTACCGCGCCCAGCTAATTTTTTATTAATTGTAGAGATGAGGTCTCGCCAAGTTGCCCGGGCGGGTCTCAAACCCCTTGACTTAGGCAATCCACTCACCTCAGCCTCCCAAAGCGCTGGGATGACAGGCTGAGCCACCGAGCCAGCCCCGTGATTTCTTCCCCCCACCTCCAACCACACCAGACATTTCCTCTACTTGCCCAGAAGGCAAATGTTCACCGATACACTCAGCTATCTCCTCTTCTCTGCTCACGCCCCAGGCAGAGACGGCGGGCACCGTTGCCTCCAAATCGGGATTCCCAAGGGAGATCATGGGTTTGGCTTGGAGGGCAGCGAAACTCACCTCAAATACCCTTCAGCCTAAGTGGATTCCTTGGAGGAATCTAGAAACCAAATTGACACCAGGCTCATTCAAAAGAGAAAAGCACACACTATTTATTGTTACATGCACCTGGGAATCTTCACAAGAAAATGAAGTCTGAAGGAGAGGTAAAGGAAGACGCTTTTATCATCTTTAAGAAGAATGGTGAATTATAGAAAAAGATGACGGGACGGAGGGCATCTGGCCTGAAAACACAGATTTCTGGGGGAGTCGCCAGGAGATGATGGGCAGATGCAAAGGCAGGGGAAGGGAAGGGCTGCTCTGCTAAGTGCACTCGTGAAGGTCCGTCGTAACCCCAGTTCCCTGGCGATAGGGCTACTTTCTCACCTTGGCACAGGGAGGACGCCCTCCCAGTGGAACCTCTGTGGCCGGCTGCAGGCCGGAGGAGACAGGTCAGCCACCCTTTCTGAAACCACAGCCCACCTGGCCACCGGCACGGGTGCGGCGACCAGGAAACATGATCCTTCTTCCACAGGACTGCGAGGTCAGCGTCTCCGGGAAGGAACGGATCTCTGGCCAGGCAGAACTTCAAAGTGTCTGCTGACTGTTGCTTGTGCTGCCCAGATCAAGGGCGTGACTGGGAGACGAGGTCCCACCCGGGAACTTCCCTCGGGCCTGGCGCCACCTTCCCAGACCCAGAAGCACAAGCTCCAAGAGAGTAAACGAGAGGCAGAGCCCGCTGACCCCAAACATGGCTTTGAGAAAGATGGTCTTCTCTGAGGGCCGGGAGAGGACGCAGGTCACCTCATGGGGGCAAGGCTCTGCACGGCATCCAAAGTGGCTGGGCATGTGGAGCCCATAGAGGCGGCACTGCAGCCCCAGGGCAGCCCCCTCCAGCACCAGCCGCGCCCCCAGCTGGGCCACGTAGGCCCAGAGTAGCCGGAGGCTTCCAGCCCCTGGGGCGGCCCCGCTGTGCTCCCCATCCTGGATCAGGGCTTCCTTCTCCTCCTTCCCCTTTCCCGCTTCTTCCCAGCGTGCGACCACATGATGCAGAGTGACTCCCAGGTAGAGGGCACTGGGCACCGCCAGCAGGATGACCTGGAAGGCCCAGAAGCGCAGCGGGGAGATGGGGTGGGAGGCATCGAAGCAGGCGGCCTTGCAGCCTGGCTGCTGGGTGTTGCATTCGAATTCACTCTGCTCGTCGCCAAACAGCCCAGGTCCACCGGCCACCAGCAGCGCCAGGCGGAATCCCAGGAGCACAGGAAGCAGGAGGCGTCCCACGGGGCTGGAGTGCCGGCTCTCCTCTGCCAGCAGCCGCCGCAGGAACCGGCCGCCCATCCTGTCACGGGCGTTGGAGAAAGGTGGTCACCAGAGGTGGACTCTGAACTCAAGGAGGATCCCTGGCTACTGGGGGGGGGTTTGTATGAGTCCTGTCACCAGCCCTGGTCCTCCCCCTGGCGTCCTATGGGGTGGGGCCTTCTGTGCCCTACGGTGGCCACGGAGGAAGTGCAAGATTGATCTTTGGATATCGATGTGCAAAGAACCCAAGATCCTGTGCAAGGTTGGATGCCTGTGAAGCACCCACGTGAGTCTAGCACTATGCAGATCACTTCCCCTGGAGGGCTACTGTCCTCCCAGGAAGCAGTGGGAGGTGGCCCACCTTGCTGGGTGGCAACCTCCGGGCCTTGACAGATGTGTCCTACGCACTGATGAGTTGAGAGGGAAAAAGTATGTTTTTTTGAAAATGTCACAGTGTCATTAAAAGTAACTGTTCACTCTCATGGAGTCTGAGAGAAAGGCTCTCTCTAAAACTATTGCTTGTAACCTAAACAACAACAACAACAACATAAGATATAAAGTTTGGAAGACGTCCGTGTAAGTCATATTTAAAAATGCAATAAGAGATAACCTGCATTTAACATGAATATGCGCCATAAAGAAATTCAGGCTCAGGTGCAGTAGTCTGGATGAAATTATTTTAAAGGCAAGAATAGCCAGAATGCACAAACATAAGCTTCTTTTGTTTGGTCCTTTTTCTGTTTGTTTGTTTGGGTTTTTTGAGCTGAGGCTTCACTCTGTAGACCAGGTAGGAGAGCAGGGGCACAATCACGGCTCATCAAAGCCTCTGCCTCCTGGACACAGGTGAGCCTTCTGCATCAGCCTCCGAAACGCTGGGGCTACAGGAACAGGCCATCATGCCAGTCTAATTTTGATTTTTTGTAGAAACGAAGTCTCACTGTGTTGCCTAGGCCAGTCTTGAACTCCTGGATCAAGCGATCCTCCCACATGGCCTCCCAAAGGAGATTACAGATATGCGTCCCCACACCCAGCCCTAATTCTGTGAATTTTAAATTAACACACGATGAACCTTAAAACCATTATGCTGAGTGAACTTAGCCAGAAGCAAAGATAACATATTGAATGGTGCCATTGACAGGAAAGATCCGAAAATACAAATCCATCAAGGCAGAAAGTAGATTACCAGTCAGCAGGAGCAAAGGGGAGGCGGAATTGGGGAGAAATTGTTAACCGGACAGAGTTTCTTTCTCGAAGGAGGGAGTGGTGATGACTATGCGGCATCATAAATGTACTAAAACTTTATCTTATGCGAATTCTACCTCAGTTTTTTAAAAACTGTGATTGTTGGACGAAAAGTACAGTGAGGCTGGGTATGGTGGCTCAACCTGTCATCTCAGCGCTTGGGAGGCCGAGGCAAGTGGATTGTCTGAGCCCGCGGGTTTGAGACCAGCCCGGACAACTTGGCACAGCCTCGTCTCTACAATAAATCAAAAAATTAGGCAGGCGTGGTAGCGCACACCTGTAGTTCGGCTACATGGAAGGGCGAGGTCCAAGGATCACCTAAGACCAGCAGGTCAAGGCTGCGGTGGCCGTGAGCGTGCCCCTGCATTCCAGCCTGGATGACAGAGTGAGACTCCAACTCAAAAAGAAAAATTAATTCTAAGCTCCCTCCACTGTCCTGTGAGCCACAAATGATCACTATGGTGTCTCACTCGGTGGCCAGAAGAGGGCTCAGAGTAAACACTGCCCTTGATTTCAAAGCTCCCGGTTTCCAGGAGTGAGTCTTTGTAGATGCAGCCCAAGCGTCTGTTTCTCCTTCTACCTGTTCTCTCTGCCCGAACACCGTCTCGCGTCCCAAGGCCCCAGCCACGCCTGACCTCAGCCTTCACCACCCCAGCCTCAGATCCAGGGCTTCTCCTCACGCTGGAACGGAATCCCGGTCATTTTCGCTGCCTTGGGGATGTGGGGTTTGGGAGGCCAGAAGCGCGTAAGCTTGCCCAAGGAGCCAAGCCCAGACTTGTTGATCAGCAAGGTTTCCAGGCTCTGACCTTGATTTTCAAAGCTCAGAGCAGGAACCTTTCAGGGTGGGGAGTGACAAAATCCAGAGCCTTCCGATTACATCAGCCCTAGGTTGACAACATCTCCCAGGTAGATTATTTCCCTTTGTAAACGTTTAACAATCATAGTGTGGCCTCACCAGAACATTCCACAGCCTCTTATCCCAACAGGAATAGGAAAGATTCAGAAGCCATGGGGGATGAGAGGAGGAAGGGGCCGGGAGGGGCGCCGGAGGGGCGGGGGAATGAGCCCCACTGCCCCTCTCTGGCCTGCTCGTCCAGGGCCGCCTCCTGCACGTGTCACTCACCTGGTCACTGAGCAGGGACTTCCGTCCACAGGCAGAAGGGCAGAGGGAAAGGAGGCCTCATGCCGAGCCTCCTGACTGTTGACTCTCCCCCAGGCCCGCCTCCTGCGGAAACTGCCACCCTCCCCCCACCCTGTCCCTTCCCGGACGCCTTAGTCAGAAAGGAAGGCGGCTGGAGGCAGGCCAGCTGCCAGAGGAGGCAGGAGCATCTTGGCTTTCCGAGCTGGAACAAGCTGTGGAATGCTCCTGGAGCCAACAATGGTGCAGGGTGGGACGACTGGGAAGAACGCTTGCCTTTGACCCTGATCTGGACAGTGTGGCTCACAGAACCCAGGACACCGAGGGGCCCAGGCAGCGGGAAGGAATGCGGCCTCCTGTCGCTTCACTCGACTGTCTCCAAGCTGCCTCTCTGAGCCCTCTGTCTCCGGTCTGCCACCGTTCTCTGCCAGTTCTCAGTAGAACTCCCAGAATAAAACGGTCACCCTCGCTCTCTCCAGTTCTTACCTCGAGCCGCTGCAGCCTGGCTGAATGTGGTGCCCGCCGTCCCTCCACCTACCCACCCACCCCTGGCGAAGCCTGGGTAGATGGAAGAACTCGAATCACTCTATAAAAAAGACACCTGCACACGTATGTTTATCGCGGCATTGTTCACAGTGGCGAGAACATGGAACCAACCCTGCTGCCCATCGAAAGAGGACTGGATTTTAAAAAATGACGCAGCCATAGAGAAAAACAAAATTATGAACTTTGCAGCAACTTGGGTGGACTTAGAGGCAATAATACTGAGTGATCTTTCCCAGAAACAAAGGACTGAGTACCACATGCTCTCAGTCATAAGTGGACCATGAACAAGAAAAGGATTGGCAGGAGCGGGAAATGCCGAGGGGAGCAGGGGAGCAGGATTGGCAGTAGTGGGAATCTGCCTGGGGAAGGGGGGGGTCACACACATCAACAAGGGTCCCTGCATAATGAACGTGTGTACACCTAACCCTGAATTGTACCCCACATTAAAAAAAAATAAGTTTAAAGGAAAAAATAATAAAATAATTTAAAAAATTTTTTTGAATGCCTGGACAGGAACTGCCTTAGAGCTCTCAAGGGAATGGCAAATGGCTGACCCAAGGCCAAACGTGGTCAGCTGATGGCAAAACAGTAATGTATGTAACACGGGGCGAGACCACCTGATCAGGCTCAAAGAACACGTCCGTTCATTCATTCCTAGGTATTTTATTTCATCTGAAGTTACTATGGATGGGTTTATTTTTTTCTTTAATATTCCCTGTTTGTTGCTGAGAGGTAGAAAACCTACTGCTTTTGTATACTTTTTTGCCATCCACATTTCTGTACTCT